ACACACGCACACACACACTTGTACACACACATGTACACACGTACACACAGGGATACAGGAGGATGGGAGGGCATCTGACACACAGGGATAGAGAGGATGGTAGGGCATCTGACAGACTGCGGGCGTGGGAAAAGTGATGGTGCTGATGCTGCGCTGCCAAACGAGCTGGAGGCGTTACTACGGCAACAAACCCATCAGCGACATCATCCTCTCATCTCCTCATCACCACGGCCTCCAGTCTGACAGAGCACACACCACAAAGAGACCAGGAATAGACCGGGTTTAGACCGGTTTCAGACCGGTTCAGACCGGGTTCAGACCGGGTTCAGACCGGGTTCAGACCGGGTTTAGACCGGGTTTAGACCGGGTTTAGACCGGGTTTAGACCGAGTTTAGACCGGGTTTACAACTGTCTTGCCAAGTGTTAGGCCTATATGTCTGCTTGTTCAGGTGGAGAGGAGCAGAGAAGGAACAGAAGTAACAGTCCTGGATTAAAATTGATTTAGACCTAGTTTAGTCCTTGTTTAGACCTTGTTTATTTAGACTTGGTCATTCCTGGTTCAGAACTGATTTTAGACCTGATGTAGTCCCATTTTAGTCCTGGTTTAGTCCGGGTTCAGTACTGCTGAAGCTTAGATCTGGTTTAGTCCTGGTTTAGTCCTGGTTTAGACCTGGTTAAGACCTAGTTTAGTCCTGCTGTAGTTTAGTCCCGGTGTAGTCCTGGTTTAGTTTAATCCGGTTTTAGTCCTGATTTTATCCTGGTTTAGTCCTGGTTTAATTTGTTCCATTTTTATTTTTATGAGAACCAAACCAGGATTAAATCAGGTCTAAACCAGGTCTAAACGTGGGGCTGAACATTCACAATTAATCTGAATATTTTGGTTTCAAATGTACATAAACTCAAATGCATTTGTTCTCATATTTTTTAATTACGAAAAATATGTCAGATTTATGAGTTTAAAATTAGCAGCAAACTGAAGTGAAAATATTTGTGAAATTCTGTCACTCATTATGAATAAAACAAAAGTACATTTAACCAGATTCTGTTTATATCGATGGTACAGATTTAAACTGGAAACCTGTCAAAACCTGAGATATTTTCAGTCTGTTACTGAAGTCTGAAATACATCAGTCAATATGTTTTCAACTAGAAGAACAGACTTTTTATACTGAGCCAGACCAGAACTAAACCGGAACTAAACCAGGACTAAACCAGAACTGAATAAAGACTAAACCAGAACTAAACCAGGACTAAACTAGGACTAAACCAGGACTAAACCAGAACTAAATCAGGTCTAAACCAGGACTAAACCAGGACTCACTCTGGTCTTAAGCAGATCTAGGTTTGGACTAAACCAGGACTAAACCAGGACCAAACTGACTTACTCCACAGGTGTCAGATTTTTAAATCTGAATTCCTTGGATGATATCAAAACAAAAAAAGAAAAAAAAATGTAGAGTCAAAATTTTGTTATTTTCCACAAAATTTTGCAGTAAATATCATACATAACATATCGTAAAGAGAGATTTGGATTAAGGACACACAGATACTGATTTGCTAAGAGGCTCTGAAGTCATTTAAAGGATAAAACACAACTCAAATAATTTGAGTTTTGTAATAAATCCACTGTGTTTTGAGCAAAAAAAACAACAACATAGTGTACAAAATGTTTAAATCCCTACACCCGTATTGGTCGAGATCGGACATAGTCATAGTATCAACGGAGCCCAACAGTCCCGCCCACTTTACTGTCCGCTCTGGTTCTGGAAGTACATTTTTCTCATAGATTTAAAAAAAAAAAAAAAAAAAGAAAATTTAACTCTTATTCAAATATTAAGAGTTTAAGATATCAGCAGAGGCACATTTTAAACACAAGATTCTGCTAAATGTTTTCATAATTTTCATAATAAATTTCTGAAACTGATTTTAATACAATTATAGCTCTTACAGTTAATAGTTTCCACATATCTGATTAGTGCAGCGCTTTCAAACTTTTAACATACATATTTTTTTGGAAAGTTTATGAGAAAAAATGATCAGAAATTTACTTATTATTGGTAATGTTTTGCCCATATTATTGGTCATGCACAGTTACAGATTTTTTGTGATTATTTATTTATTTATTTTTACCCAGATTATTGGTCATGTGCAGTAACAGATTATTAGTGATGCTTTTACACAGATTATTGGTAACATAATTACAGATTGTTGGTCATACACAGTTACAGTCAAATTATTGGTCTTGTACAGTTACAGATTATTGGTCATGTGCAGTTACAGTCAGATTATTGGTCATGCAAAATTACAGATTATTGTTCATACACAGTTACAGATTATTGGTCATGTGCAGTTACAGATTATTGGTCATGTGCAGTTACAGATTATTGGTCATGTGCAGTTACAGATTATTGGTCATGTGCAGTTACAGATTATTGGTCATGCACAGTTACAGATTATTGGTCATGTGCAGTTACAGATTATTGGTCATGTACAGTTACAGATTATTGGTCATGTGCAGTTACAGATTATTGGTCATGTGCAGTTACAGATTATTGGTCATGTGCAGTTACAGATTATTGGTCATGTGCAGTTACAGATTATTGGTCATGTACAGTTACAGATTATTGGTCATGTGCAGTTACAGATTATTGGTCATGCGCAGTTACAGATTATTGGTCATGTGCAGTTACAGATTATTGGTCATGTGCAGTTACAGATTATTGGTCATGTGCAGTTACAGATTATTGGTCATGTACAGTTACAGATTATTGGTCATGCAGTTACAGATTATTGGTCATGTGCAGTTACAGATTATTGGTCATGTGCAGTTACAGATTATTGGTCATGTACAGTTACAGATTATTGGTCATGTGCAGTTACAGATTATTGGTCATGTGCAGTTACAGATTATTGGTCATGTGCAGTTACAGATTATTGGTCATGCGCAGTTACAGATTATTGGTCATGCGCAGTTACAGATTATTGGTCATGCGCAGTTACAGATTATTGGTCATGCGCAGTTACAGATTATTGGTCATGCGCAGTTACAGATTATTGGTCATACAGTGTGTCAGATTAGCGGCTCGTTAGCGGCTCGTCGCGCGCCGCCCGGGGAGAGTTTAATTGCAGATTGTGGTTCTGTTTTTGTTTGTGTGCGCTGTCTCCGTCTCCTCTCTCCCGCGCGGCGCCGCAAAAATAACTAAATACAACAAAATACAGGGCGAAAATACACGAAAATACAGAGAGAGAGAGAAAAAAAAAAAAAACACAGAGAGGCAGAGGGACAGAAGGAGGAGGAGAAAGGAGAGAGAGCGAGGAGAGAACTGGGAGAAAGAGGAGAGAAGAGAGGAGGAGAAAGAGAGGGAGGAGAAAGGGAGAGGGGGAGAGGTGGAGAAATGAGAAGAGAGAGAAGAGAGGAGAGGATAGAGACGGGAGGAGGAGGGGGGAGAATGAAGATAGAGAAAGAGGAAGAGAGAGGGGAGAGGGAGAAATGAGCAGAAAGAGAGAGGAGAGGGGGAGAAACAGAGGACAGAGCGGAGAGGGAGGAGAAAGAGAGGGGGAGAGAGAAAGGAGAGGGAGGCGAAGGGCGGCAGTGACACCTACAGGCGACTCGCGGAACTGAGGCTCAGAGACGCCGCAGTAGAGGCCGATGGGACCAGAAAACATGGAGTGAGGGAAATTCAATGACAATTAAAAAAATAAAATAAAATAAATGTGAAAAACGGATACGCAAAGTTATTTTTTCTTTAACAAAATGTATGTGAGATTTAGATTTCTGCACTGTGTAACTTCATGGTTGGAGGTCTGTTTGTTTCTTGCCTGGAATGTTCCACTGTGTGACATTAAACAGCTCTGCCTCACGTTTTTTCAATTACAGATGTTTTTATAGCTCAGAAATACCTAGAAAAACATAGAAGATAGAAAAGATTTAGAGCCTCACCGTGAAACATTCCAGACAAAGCAATAACATCTCTACGAAGAAATGCGTTTGACGGACGGAGCTTCCACCAGAAATGTTACACAATGCACCTTTAAATTCCATAAACATGACCCAAGTGTGTCCCCAGATACGAGGTAAACATGGTCAAATCAAATATAACTTTTAACTTATAACAACAATAATGCTGATTTACTCTTAACTACAAAAATATAATGTCCAATTTATTTATGTTATAATTTGGTGTTTTGGTTCTAGATGTTTCTCCAATCAGAAATAAAACTGAAATCCAGTGTGTTTAAACCTAAAATGTCTCTCTGTGATCTGAATAATCTCTACCTAATACTGTCCTGGTAAAACAGACACAGAGAGAATATGCAAACTCTATAAAGGGGAAATTCAATTTGTCAACTGGACAAAAGTTTATTTTGGTTGTATACATTTCTCAGCTCATCCAAACTGCTTCTTCATTTCTGGACTGATCAATTGACCAGAACTCAAGAAGCACTTTGGACGGGCTGCGAAATATATACAACCAAAATAAACTTGTGCAGTTGACGATTGAATTTCTCCTTTTGCCATGAAGTGTACCTGGACGACTGACAGATTTTACACAAACTCTGTAAATGTGTCTTTATATTGAGTGAACATAAAATTAAAGGTGCATTGGGTAACTTTTCTGGTGGAGGGTCTGTCAAAAGCTTTTCTTCATAGAGATGTTATTGCTTTTCTGGAATGTTTCACAGTATGACATTAAACCTGTCTATCTCCATGGAGACCGAACCAGACCAAGTTACAGGTCAGATCTGTGGAGAGGCAACACTGCTCACAGTCAGAATACTGTTTTTCTAGATATTTTTGAGCAATAAAACCACTTGTAATTAAATAAATGTAAGGCAGAGCTGTTTAATGCAACACTGTGGAACATTCCAGGCAGAGCAGTGATATATCCATAGAAACAAGCAGGTGATGGACCCCCAACCAAAATGTGACATAGTGTATCTTTAAATACTGTACATATGCATTGTAGTTACAGTTTTAAAACATTAAAGACAAACACGTCTTGATTTTAAAATAATTTATTGAGATGGCGCTGAAATGTTTCAAGTCTGAGCGGCACAGAGCACTTCAGGCAACGACAGAACAATCCAACAATTTTTATTTCAGTTTTGAAAATACAAAATTTTACTGACTCAATTCTGTAAATTTGAACAATGTGTCAAATACAAGTGATTTTTTTATTTTATTTTTTAACATTTATGCAAAAATGTTTCTCAAATCATACAGTTTATAAACTTTTAGTCAAAATGTGAACTTATTTGAACATATTTATTTATTTATTGTTACTTATTTATTTATTCATTATTACTTATTTGTCATATGAAGAGTGAGCGAGTGGACACAAAAGCTGCATTGAAATTAGTTTACAGTTTCCTTTTTTTGTTTTTAAAGAGGAGTATTTTACTTTCATGGGGTAGTAACTGCTAACACATAACAATATATTATAATTTAGAGGGTCCCACATCAATTTGCTCTCTGAACTAAGTCAGTCCCCCTTCAGAACACTATCACAATCAGCATCTATCAGCTGATGAAACTACTGCACATCGCTTCAGGTTTGTCAAATTATTGTGCAGAGTTTTGTATCATGTTTTTGTATATTTATGGAGAATTGTTGGAGCATGGGTGATGTAGGTTTGTGGGTGGAGCCTTGTACAGACTCGTACTGCTAACTGTAAAGAGGGTTCAATAGGGATCAATAAGTCAATAGTGTACAATAAAGAGAGACTGCTAGATTACTCAGACATGCATGGAGGATTAAACCCTCTTCAGGCGTGTTTTTGATGAACGAACAATGTTATAACATTTGAGAAAGATCCAAGAATAGATTTTGCAAAATGCCTCTTCTTTAAATTTTAACACATTGTTCAAACTGTGTCAGAATTGAGGTCCCATTTTGATCTGTGACATATACAGAGACACTTTTAACACTTTTCTCCTGAAGTATGAACCCCACAGTATCACACGTCACCAGCAGATGGAGTCAGGAGCCACACGTTTTTTTTTTTAAAGCTCGTCGGAAAATGGCTTCTTCGAAAAACATGTAATATTTCTGTATTTTAGACATTTCCACAAAACTCTAAAATGTTCAGAAAAAAATCAAAGTAAAATCTTAAAGGGTCAAAATGTGAATTCACAAAAATACATTCTGGTATAATTGTTTTTAAAATGTTATTTTAAAATACATTCAGGGATTAAAAGTCATAGTAATCGGTTTATAACAAGGACTAAACCAGGACTAAACCAGGACTCACATGGCGATTAATCTGTGTAAATTAATATGTATTTATTATATTTCATAACATATTATTAATTAGTGAATATTAATGCAAACACTACTATACAAAAAACTCAACCAGGTCTGAAAAAGGACTAAACAAGGTGTAAACCAGGTCTGAACCAGGAATAAACCAGGACTAAACCAGGTCTGAACCAGGACTAAACCAGGACTAAACCAGGTCTGAACCAGGACTAAACCAGGACTAAACCAGGTCTGAACCAGGACTAAACCAGGTCTGAACCAGGACTAAACCAGGACTAAACCAGGACTAAACCAGGACTAAACTGGGACTAAACTGGGACTAAACCAGGACTAAACCAGGACTAAACCAGGACTAAACCAGGACTAGACAGGGACTTCAAAAAGAGGCACAAGACGTGGACAGCCCTTTGTTATAATTATGGCAAAATCATTTTCAATAAACCCAAAAATACACAAAATTTTACCTCAGGATGTACGTCTGTACACACACATGTACAGGTGAACTTAAGTGCTCTAAATTTCCAAAATATTGTGTATTTTTGTTAAAGGTCTTATATTACGCAAAGCTTTAAGCCACAATGTTGTTACCTCCTCCAAAACAGACCTGGAGTTGTATTTAGTTTCATTCACACATGTCTGATTTACACTTTATTATTAGTCTATTTACATCTCCAAAAATGCTCTGTACCACCTTGTGATGTCATGTAGTGGTAGTTGTCAAGTTAACATCTCCTTTTTAATTTCAGTTCAGTAGAGGTTGGCAGTTCTGTGGCTGAAATGATCCAAATTTCAGTTTTTGTGATTTCAAGTGATTTCAGTGAAAGTGTGTCAACTTTAAAAACACAGTGGAGCAAAATAGTGTTTTCAATTAGGGTTGTGTGAATGTGTGAATGAAACAAACACAACTCCAGGTCTGTTTTTGATGAGTAAACAACATCGTAACAGAGAAAACAGCGTAACATGGGCCCTTTACGTTTATTTCAAACTAATTAAATCATCTTTAGGCAGTGAGCAGTTTTATAACCCTTATATTCACAAATCACAAAAACATGGTTATTTTTTATCATTTTTGGCATATTTAAGAATAATTTGAGACATTTGAAACGTATGTTGACATAGACTGAGACATACTTTAGCGACGGTTCGTAACCTGGTTAACCTCACGTCTTTCTCATTATTTTTTACAGAGAGAATCAGTCTGGTGATGTACATTAAAACGACGAATGCAGAGTAGAAAAACAGAGAATAGAATGTGATTTTCAGTGTTATTTTCTTTTCTTTTCCCATCCAGGTAGGTCCCACAGTGGTCCACGTGCTCTTATACTTGCTCTGACACAGCTCGAGATCATTCTAAAGCTTAACCAGAAGCACCACCATTAAGCAAATGCGGTTTAGAGCACTTAGAGGCGAAAGTGGGCGTTACCAAATAAAGTCTATATTGTGAGACAAACATGTGGCTAACCAGGCTTTAAGCTAATGAGGCTAATGGCTCAGAGCAGGAAGGACCAAACAGTGGAGATAAAAGTCTGATTGTCCGATGAAGATACAGAGACTCTCAGAGGAACAAAACCAACAGGAGTATGAATATACACACGATTTACTCTCTGCAGAGCGCCAACTACAGGCCAGAGTCAGAACTGCTCATTTAAAGGGCCCATCTAATGCAAAATCAACTTTTCAGAGCTTTCTATCTTCTAAGAGTGATGTGTGAGCCTTGTATTTGTCGCCGAAGTGGTTTTTAGATTGATTTTTAAACAAATTGCAGTGTATTTCTGCCACCCTCCCACATGACAACAAACTAAAGCTGCTACAATGATGACGCGGCAGCTACACCTATGACGCGTTTGACATAGCAGAGAGCGCTTCACACCCGCCTCCCCGCCCCCGATCCACCACCTCCGCCCCCCCTCCATCCCACATCGACTGACAGTTCCACATGAACACCTAAACAAAAGCGACAGCGTAAGTTCATTGTTCTACACTGCAGTGAACATGATATAGTAAGTTGATCTTCTAGTGTTTATTAAAACTTTACCAATCAGTAATGTTCAGTTGATGTGGGACGCGGTGCTTGAGCTTCGTGCATCTCAAAGTCCTCGTCCGATTCCGGGTCCAACACATGCGGCTGAACGCGCTGTATCTCCATGATGAATAAAAGTTTATTCCTACCACTATCAGGGTGCACACCTGTCTCCCCCTCCCTCCCTGAGATGGGCGGAGGAAGGGCGGCTCACTCAGAGACTACGTCACGTTTTGGAGGGCGGAGCCTGTGCTTTCTCAGGACGGGCGGGGGGAGGAGCAATAGTCGGTCTTTCATAGTTCCTGGTCTGTGACTGTCTCCAAGAAATCAGTAAGATTTCATAACTATTGTGTCATGGATGTTCCAAAACCCAAATTGTGCTTGAATATGTGCAGAAGATACAATGTGAAAAGAGTTATTTTGCATGAGATGGGCTCTTTAAAGTCTTTGTACTTGATGTTTTCCCCCATGTATTTAAGGATTAATGTATTTAAGTGTCTTGCCCCAGTAGAGATATATTGTATAAACAGCTCTTGAGGTCAAAATAAGTCAGCTGTGTACTGCCTACATCTAATTATTAAGAGTTTTATAGCCCCAGAATCAGGAAGGGCTTATTAGCATCCTAGCTGTTGATGTAAAAACTCTCCTCTAGTCTCTGAGAGTTGTGAAAAGTGCTTATAAACTCACTGTGGTGAATAATTTGGATGCCCTGAATGCATAAGGTAAAAGCGGAATAACTCTGGACCACTACAAATTGTTTAAAATGAAATATTTTTATATTTTTACTGCTAAGATTGTCCTTTGCATTTGATCCATCCACCAGTGTCTCTAAGGCTAAGTTCAGACTGCAGCCCCAAGTGACCCAAAGCTGATTTTTTTGGCCCCTGTGTTCCTGTATCTGATCTTTCATGACAGTCTGAACGACACAGATCCGATTTTTTCAAAAGCGACACAGCCGACTTGGATATGTGCTCCTAAAACCGATACATATCCGATCTTTTGACATGTGACTTCAGTCTGAACGGCCAGGCTACATTCATCCCCCCTACACGTCACAAATGTTCACAAACGTTCTTCTCAACGTACAAAAATTGTGTCTGAACTCTGTGTGAGTGAAGCAGAGAAGCACATGTCAATCCCTCCACTCTTGGCTCGGACTCTGCACCCACATGTTTTTTTCTACAGACCTTGCTACCACTGCCCCACAAAACTCCACGGCCAAAAACCTCGTCCTTCTCCTTCTTAATCTCCTCCTTAAACAAATAGTCTGTACATGTTCTGGCTCTGGTACGACAGCAACTTTAAAATCTCCATGTGCTCAGTGCTGCGTCCATGTTTAGGCGACTTCCTTAAACACTGAGCATGCTCGCTGTGTGTGACGTTGTCGTGTCTCCAGTGCACATGCGGGACACTTTTGGGGCATTTAAAGTTCACACTGGAGATCAGAAACAAGTCACATTTAAATGGAAATGTGAACGACTTTGCAAAAAAATTGGATTTCACAGAAAAATGTGAATTGAGCGTTAAGCCCTGCAGTCTGAACGTAGACTAAGTTACACTTGTCAGGAGCAGTGGACCAGATCTGAGCCTAGTCCTTGTCTGTTTTTTGTTTGTTTTTGTTTTTGTTGGTTTGGATCCTCAGAGAACCTCAGGTCCTGTACCTTGAGTGACGTATACAGTTGAAAACCTAAAACTCTAAATGCTACTTTTAAATAAAATAAAACTAAATCTTTCACAATTGTAAGTGTTAGCATTAGCTTTAGCGTTAGGATCACAGTTCGCTGACTTTCTCGCTCAGCGTCTCCAGCTCCTCGTCCACCTCTGGGTACCGGTCGGATCCATCGCCGTGGAGACCGTTGAGCTGTGCGTGATGCAGCCAGCGCATGTCGTCGCTCTCGTGGGTGATGTAGCGCTCGTTCATACGCATCTCCAGACCCCGCAGGTCCAACCACATCTGGTAATCCTAAAACAAGAATTAAAAAAAGTCTGGTAATCCTGAAGGACCAGAGGAGATCGTAACCAAGTGCACCCTAAACAGGTCATAGTCCTAAACATAATCCTGTAATCCTGTAAAAGCTCACAGAAACCAAAACAAATGCACCCTGAATACCTGAGGGAACCTGAGGGAAATTCAAGTTTGTGTCTCAGTCAACGATCTCAGTGCAGTTTAACAGGACGACTGGTCAGGGCGGGTCGGCAAATCCTGTGGAAGAGCCAAACGTGTCCCGCTTCTGTGTCCTGCAGCATCGCAGCTGCCTCCAGGGGGCGCCAGGTGAACACAACAGGAAAGGCCTCGTTCTTGCTCCAGTTGTTTTTTTCAGTTGGTGATAAAATGGATCATTCCGTTTTTCTTCTGGAAGGTCTTGGAGTCTTTCCTCTGGAAGGTCTTCTCCCACACTTGCTGTCACATTTGGTGTAAAAAGCCTGTAGTGTTTTGCGAGAAATTATGTTCTGTTTTTATCTGATTTTTGACCTGCGCCTGCCACAGACTGTATAGAGAAGTGGACTAAGGGAGTGTGACATTACCCTCAGTGCTCAGGTTGCTGTTATAGTGGTGTTATTTGGAATTATGACAAGGGCCTCATAGCAACCAAAGAGCCAATCCAGGGCCAGACTGTTGAGGGTAACACCCACTCAGGTCTTTGGTTTAGCAGAGTCGATCAAACCTGTTGATTGGGAGTACCTGATATAGGCAGTACCTCAGGTTTGGAAGATACCTCACAGCGTGGAGTACTTCATAGTGTGGAGTACCTCACATTGTGGCGTACGTCACAGTGGGAGTACCTCACAGTACCTCACAGTGGGGAGTACCTGGAGCCAGGGGTGGCTGAGGGTCTTGTCGACGCTGTACCTCTTCCTCATCTTGACCTGGAGCAGGTTTGAGATCATGTCGATGGCTGAAACACAAACACACAATGAGACCACAGTATATGAACTATATACATATAGAACATTATAGAGTTATATTATTATTACATTACATTATATTAGCTTAAGTGTTCAACTTTACTCACATCAGTCATCTAGACCGCTCCTCCATGTTTATATTTTTATATGATTTAGGGATCCAAACTATTCAAAGACATCTCCATATTTGTTTATATTAAAGAAGACAGTCTGAGAATTCATTTGACCCAGTGGCTCGACTAAAATAAAACTGAAATTGTCCAAACTTGAGGTGGAACTGTGCATCATCATCTTTTTTTTTTTTTCCAAAACAAGATGAGGCAGAGGAGGGGACAGAGGAGAGAGAGTGTATTTATATGAATGACTGTGTTTGGTCAAAAAAGGAAATCTCAGTTGTGTTTCGACTCTGCGCTCTGATTGGCTGTCCCGTCTCTCTCTGCCTCTGTCCAATTGGTTGTCCCTTCCCTGTCTGCCTCTCTCTGATAGGCTGTCCTGTTCTTCTCTCCTCCTCTCTGATTGGCAGCCCCCCCCTCCCTCTCGGGCACAGCGCCCCCTGCAGCGCGAGGCCAGCAGAGGTTAATGAGCAAAGCTAACATGAGTGTAGCGTTAGAGAAGGGTCAGTGAGTCTGTGCTTCAGAGAGAGGCCCACAGCTCCACACATGAATGCACCCAGAGAGGAGGAGGGGAACGAGGGAGGAGAGAGGGGTATGAGACAGGAGGGGAGAGATGAGGGGGAGAAAGAGGGAGAGAGAGAAGATGGACAGAGGGGAGGAGGAGAGGAGAAAGGGAGAGAGGGGGAGGAGAAGGAATAAAAGGAGAAAAGAGGGAAGGAGAGATGGGGGAGAGTGAGAGGGAAGAGAAAGAGGGAAGGGAGAGAAGGGTAGAAGAAGAAGTGGGGGTGAAAGAGGGAGGAGGAGGGGGAGTCGTCTGGGGAGAGGGGACCATTCCTCCTGCTCACACGGCGTCTCAAAGAAGTCGGGTCAAAACAGAGCTGTCAAACTTCACAAGTCTCCAACAAAAACACCATTCAGGAGTACCTCACTCCCCCCAGATCTGAAGGTCTCCCTTCTACCCTCCCTCCCTCCCCCCTCTCTCTTTCTCTCTTTCTCCCTCTCTCCCTCCCTTTTCCCCTTCTTCTCTCTTCCCTCTCTTTACGCCCACTTTTCTCTCCTTCCCTCCTTGCCTCTCTTCTATATTTGTCCCCTCTATTCCTCCTCTCTTCTCCTCCCTCCTTCTGTCTCTCCCTTTCGCTCTTTTCCCCCTCTCGCTAGCCCTGCTCAGGAGTACCTCTCTGGGAACAGTAGTACCTCTCTGGGGGTGGTATCTCTCTAGGGGTAATAACTCTTTGGGAACAGTACTTTTCTGGGGGCAATAATACCTTTCTGGGAGCAGTAGTACCTCTCTGGGAACAGTACTTTTCTGGGAGCAGCAGTACCTCTCTAGGGCAGTAGTACCTCTCTGGGGGGTAGTACATCTCTGGGAACAGTATTTTTCTGGGGGCAGTAGTACATCTCTGGGAGTAGTAGTACCTTTCTCAGGGAATACATCTCTGGGGCAGTACCGCTCTGGGGAGTACATCTCTGGGGGAGTACATCTATGGAGGAGTACCTCTCTGGGGCAGTACCTTCTTGTGAGACCTTCTTCCAAGGGTGGGGTGGGTACATGAAGGCGGCGTTCTGGATCTGGTCGTTGATGTCCTCGTCTTCATTAAAAGGAAACGTTCCACTCAGACTGAAACAAGACAGAAACTCTGAGCAGCAGCAGTACTAGTAGTAGTAGTACTGACATATACTATGACCCCCACGCTCCACATGTCCAGTGATTGTAGTAGTAGTATCAGTAGTATCCGTTGTATCGGTATCGGTATCGGTATCAGTAGTATAGTAGTAGTAGTAGTAGTAGTAGCAGTAGCAGTAGCAGTACCTACTATGACCCACAAGCTCCACATGTTCAGTGATCGTAGTAGTAATATCAGTAGTATCGGTATTAGTAGTAGTAGTAGTAGTAGTAGTAGTAGTAGTAGTAGTAGTAGTAGCAGTAGCAGTAGCAGTAGCAGTAGCAGTACCTACTATGACCCACAAGCTCCACATGTTCAGTGATCGTAGTAGTAATATCAGTAGTATCGGTATCAGTAGTAGTAGTAGTAGTAGTAGTAGTAGTAGTAGTAGTAGTAGCAGCAGCAGCAGCAGCAGTAGCAGTACCTGACTTATACTATGACCCCCATGCTCCACATGTTCATTGATTATAGTATCAGTAGCAGTAGTAGTAGTAGTATTATTAGTACCTGACATATACTATGACCCACAAGCTCCACATGTTCAGTGATCGTAGTAGTAATATCAGTAGTATCGGTATCAGTAGTAGTAGTAGTAGTAGTAGTACCTGACTTATACTATGACCCCCATGCTCCACATGTTCATTGATTATAGTATCAGTAGTATCAGTAGCAGTAGTAGTAGTAGTATTATTAGTACCTGACATATACTATGACCCACAAGCTCCACATGTTCAGTGATCGTAGTAGTAGTAGTAGTTGTAGTAGTAGTTGTTGTTGTAGTAGTATCAGTACCTGACGTATACTATGACCTCCACATGTTCAGTGATCATTGTATTAGCAATATCAGTAGTAGTAGTAGTAGTAGTAGTAGTAGTAGCTTGAGTACCTGACGTAGACTATGACCCCTACGCTCCACATGTCCAGGGAGCGGTTGTATCCTTTGTTTCTCAGGACTTCGGGGGCGAGGTAGGCGGGGGTCCCCACGACAGAGCGCCTGAACGACTTCTCCCCGATGATCCGAGCGAAGCCGAAGTCACACAGCTTCACCTGGAAAAGTTCGCACACATATTCTGTGTTGTTAATCATTTTATATTTAAATTGCTCCCTTGTTAATGTCTGTTTTTACTGATGCAAACAAAATGAAATGGCACGAGAGATAAATGAATAAATGAGTCCGTACCTGAGGGAAGGGGTCAGCAGAGGCCAGCAGCACGTTCTCCGGCTTCAGGTCACAGTGGACGATGTTCTTAAAGTGGAGGTGCCTCAGAGCCACAAGGATCTGAACACAACACAAATTTGATACTACACAGGCTAAAGAGAGAGATAGTCCTGGTTTAGTCCTGGTTTAGTCCTGGTTAGTCCTGGTTTAGTCCTGGTTTAGTCCTGGTTTAGTCCTGGTATATTCATGTGCGAGTCTGTGCTGGCTTCATGGTCTCACCTGTGTAACGAGGAACTTGGTGATGCGTTCAGGGAGCCGTCCTTTCTCACTGGACAGAATCATCTCCAACATGTCTCCGTGAAGTTTCTCCATCACCACAAAGACGCGCTCTGGGGTCTCAAACATGCAGTCCAAGTTCACTACACCTGGGTGGTGCAAGCTCTGAGGAACGATCACAAATACATACACAAGAAATGATAGATGGATGGATAGAAAGATATATAGATAGACAGATGCAGTGCCCCCAGTGAGCATCACACCCCCAAGGGAATGTTGATGATATCAGCTTCAAAGTATAGATAAACTGCACTGAGACATTTGACTCAGTAAATTAACAGGACTTGTCAGGGTCAGTTGATCTGTGTCAGGACAGTGTGAGGAGATAACAGCTCTCAGGACAAAAGTGTTCCTCCCTGTGTCCTGCAGCATCACAGCAGCCTCCAGGGGGCACCAGGTGAAGTCCAAACCTCTCTCACTCTGCGCTGTCATTTCACTGATGGGACACAGCATTCCCTCCAAGTGTTTTGTAGTGATATGTTCTGAACTTTTTCCAAAAAAATATAATTTTAATGTCACAGTTAAATCTCTCTGGATGGAGACCTCTGCCCCCCCAAACAAAAGGTTCTATTTTACAATCTACAACCCAAAACAAACATAAAGCAAACAAACTTCATAAATCTTTTTGTTACCATGTTCTATGTGGCCTTGTGTCAGTTAAACCTGCTCATTTCCACTAGACAGATGGAAATTATAATCTCAAAGAGTGAATGTGACTGTAGATGGATACTTGACCTCAACATTATGTAAGAATTACACAACAGGAGCTGTGCGTTCTGCAGTTTGCGCTGCAAACGCCTCCTTGTTGTTTAATTCTCTTTAATTCTTTAATTCTCTTATTTCTTTTTATTTAATTTAATGAAGACAAACAAATAATCCCGCCCTTAAATCAAACACTAAAATTATTCACCAGAGACCTGTGTATGTGGTGTGTGTGTGTGTGCATAATGTGTGTATATATATGTATGCGTGCGTGTCTGTGCATGTGTGTATGGGGTGTGTGTGTGCGTGTGTGTATAATGGGTGCGTGTGTGTGCGTGTGTGTGTGTGTGTTACCTGTACAGGTGTATCACACTTGTTGAAACATGCAGGTGCACAGTTACCTGTAAAATGGCGACCTCGTTGCGCAGTTGTGATTCTTGTTTCGTTGGAAATCTCATTTTGTCGATGATTTTTATGGCCACGTCTCGCCCAGACTTCCTGTGTTTCCCTTTCAAAGTAAAACACAAAAGCTGATGCTTTTATTTTGCTTTTAGCAGCAGAAATAGTCCTGTTTTAATCCTGTTTTAAACCTTGTTTAGTCCTGGTTAAGACTCACTTTAGCAGCAGACATAATTCATGTTTAAATCATGTTTAATCTAACCTCCGTAGACGATGCCAAACTGTCCGGAGCCCAAAACCTCATCTGGGAAGATCTGGTACACCGAGTTTATGTCCTAAAAGATCAGAGAAAACAGAGAAAACTGTTTAGATTATTTACATCACTTATATTAAGCAATTTAAAAAAAATATTTTGTGTGAAAATTTTCCTCAAACACAGACTGAGACTTACCACGTTCTCCTGGATCTGACAGTTGGACACAGAGATGCTGACGGACACCTCCGCTGTGAAGCAGAGGAGAAGGTCAGAGGAGCAAAGATGCAGATTAGACGGTCAGAAGAGAGGGTCAGAGAAGCAGAGAAGAAAGTTAGAGGAGCAGAGGAGAAGGTCAGAGGAGCAAAGGAGATGGTCAGAAGAGAGGGTCAGAGACGCAGAAGAAAAAGTCAGAGGAACAGAGGAGCAAAGGTCAAAAGGAGCAGATGATGCAGAGGAGGTCAGATGGTGCAGAGGATGCTCACTGTGTTGGTGGTTGTTGTGGGAGATGCCTGTGGACACGGCGGGCATCAGAGCGTGTTGAATGGCCATCTCCCACATACGAGCCACATCCTGCCCCACTCCACTCACCTGCAGACAGTGACAACAGCATTTAAAGAGGGATATTTGACTTCTGTGGGGTATTAACCGCTAACACATTACATATTTAGATCACCATGTTACCGTTTATTGTTTTGAAAATGCTAAAAACAACTTATTAACATGTTTCATAAGTTTCCGTTTAGTTTTCGACCCTGTAAGTTCTTCTCTATTTGCTCATGTATTTGATGTTTGCCATAGTGTTATTCCAGACAGTTATTCTTACCAGCAGACTGCTCCCACTCAGTCCACACTCAGATCGAGACAGGTTTTCTCCCACATAATAAACCAGAGCTGTGGTGGAGATCTCAAAGCAGTGAGGATTCGCTCCATCGGGGAGGAGCGAGAAGGTCTGAGCAGGCTCCAGGGTCAAGATCTCAGACAGAGGGATCTCCTACAAACAAGCAAAAACAAAAAACAAAAAAATAAGACAGTGAGTGTGTATACATGTGTTTAGTGAGTGTTCATGTAATTTCAGTGTCGTGCATAAGGCAGTGTCCTGGTGATAAGAAACCAGGAGACTCTTGTTTGTTTTTCTGAGAATTTTCGAGATACTGTGGCCTGTAGACGCAGTATCCTGATTTCTCAAATCTGGTTTTGTACTGAGCATGTACAAACTGAAGTAACAGACACGGTAGAAGCACTTACTTTCCCAAAACAATTAACACTTCTACCAGGACTTTTTAAGTAATAATATTTTACACATTTATACTGACAAAATAAAGCAGTCTACTGTGTAATACAACTCAGGCCCAGTTCTGTGTCTGTCTGTGATGTTCTTGAACTAAACCGACACTGTGAGACTCTATTGTATTTTTCAATGGTTAAAAACATCTTTTACTAAAGTTAATCAGTCGTACGTTCTTACTTATACGTATGTCTTCTTTTTTATTGTTAGGAACCTGTTAAAAGCCTTAAGTGTTCATCTCCCTACCATATCTGTACCAATAGTTTCCATAGCAACCAATCTAAATATCCAAGGTACTTGAATGGTGCACAAATTTGTAGTTTTGTGAAGTAGTGAGAAGGTCTGAGCGGGTCTGAGGTGAGGATCTCAGACAAAGGAATCTCCTTCAAACAACACACATGTAAACAAAAGGTTCTGTCCTTCAGGGAGAAGTTCTGGGTCTGTTGTAGTACCTCATAGCATTTCTGTTGTACCTTGTAGTAGTTCTTGCAGTATTTAAGTACCTTATATTAACCAGACTCAGATGGCTGCTTGCCTACGTTGGGTTAACTCCACAGCCCTCCCCTACCCGGCTGTTAGTCCTGTGAAATGTTTGTACTGTGTTTTGACTGTGTGCTCATGTCGCAGAGGTGTTTTTTTGTGCACTCCCCCATACTATGCCCTGAAAGTAGCATGGTGTGGGGCTGTTCTCTTTTTTTCTCCTCCCCCATCCTCATGTTATGCTTCAGTGTTTATTCCGATCTGCTACCAGTCCACGTAGTCTTTCCCATTGATTGGACTGTATGTTTGTAATGTACGAATGGGGTGGCAGGTCCAGTTTTGATTCCTTTGTATGTACACGAACATGTGAAGAAATTGACAGTAAGTCCATTATTCATTCATAGTATTTGACATAGTACATCCTGGTGTTGGTGTGTACCTTGTAGTATTTGCTGCTGGTGTCATTCTGGAACAGTGTGATGCATTTACTGTCCAGACGCCAGTAATGTCTCTTCCTCTGAAACACAAAACGCAATTATGTTATAAAGGATAGAGTCACAGGGTCATGTTCTGGTCCTGGTTTAGTCCTGCTTTAGTCTTGGTTTAGTCCTGATTTAGTTTGGTCTAGTCTTGGATTAGTCTTGGTTTAGTCTTGGTTTAGTCTTGGTCTAGTCTTGGTCTAGTCTTGGTCTAGTCTTGGTTAGTCTTGGTTTAGTCCTGGTTTAGTCCTGGTGTAGTCCTTGTTAAATCATGGCTTAATTTGAGTTTAATCTGGGCATAGTCCAGGTTTAGATCAGGTTTAGTCTTGGTCTAGTCTTGGTTTAGTCTGGTTTAGTCCTGGTTTAGTCCTTGTTAAATCATGGCTTAATTTGAGTTTAATCTGGGCGTAGTCCAGGTTTAGATCAGGTTTAGTCTTGGTCTAGTCTTGGTTTAGTCCTGGTTTAGTCCTGGTGTAGTCCTTGTTAAATCATGGCTTAATTTGAGTTTAATCTGGGCGTAGTCCAGGTTTAGGTCGGGTTTAGTCTTGGTCTAGTCTTGGTTAAGTCCTGGTTTAGTCCAGGTTTAGTCCTGGTGTAGTCTTGATTTAGTCTTAGTTTGGTCTTGGTTTAGTCTTGGTTTGGTTCTGGTTTAGTTTTGGTCTAGTCTTGGTTTACTTCTTGTTTAGTCCTGGTTTAGTCTTGATTTATTCTTGGTTTAGTCTTGGTCTAGTTTTGGTTTAGTCCTTGTTTAGTCCTGGTTTAGTCTGCGTTTAGTCCAGGATTAGTCTGGGTTTAGTCCATGAAGCTGGATCACTTTATATCGGGGTAAATCACTATGGTAACATGCCCTGAACTCAGAACCAGGTTAAGTTCCCCCAATAAGATTAGAACACAAGCCTTTGACCAATCAGAGAGCAAACTCCAGCTGCTGTGACCAATCAGAGACGAGCATCTGCTTATCCAAGTTCAGCCAGACTTGAATTTCGGGCCTCTGGTGGGTTCTGGTGAGTTTTGGCGAGTCCTGGTTGGTTTGATGGTTCTGTTTTTGGTTTTATATTTACCAGTGTGTCTTTGCTTGTGTAGTGCACCATCCAGCCCTCCTTCATCACATTGCTGCTCTTCCTCTTTGTGTGTTTGACCGACTGGACCACTCTCATCAGGGGAATGTTGTTACTCGTGGTGGGGCTAAAAATGAGACAGACAGGTTCAGAAATATGAGGTCTGACATGATTTGCTGAAGGACACAACAACAGAAAGCAACGCCAACAGTGAGATTCAAAGTTAGTCCTGATTTTGTTCTGGTATGGTCCAGTTTTAGTCCTGGTTAAGATGTTTTAGTTCCAGTCAAATCCTATAATTTTTCTTCATTTTGCTATAAATATTTGGTCTAGTTTAAGTCCTGGTTTAGTCTTGTTTTAGTCCTAGTTTAGTCCTGATTTAGTCCTGGTTGAGTCCTGGTTTAGTCCTGGTTCAGTCCTGGTTTAGATATGTTTTAGTTCTGGTCAAGTAATATAGTCTTTCTTCGTTCTGCTTTAAATCTTTGGTCCAGTTTTAGTCCTGGTTTGGTCCTGGTTTAGTTCAGTCATGGTTTAGATGTTTCAGTTCCTGTCAAGTCCTATAATTTTCCTTTGTTTTCCTTTTAAATCTTTTGTCTAGTTTAAGTCCTGGTTTAGTCCTGTTTTATTCCTAGTTTAGTCCTGATTTAGTCCTGGTTTAGCCCTGGTTTAGTCCTGGTTATGTCCTGGAATGGATATGTTTTAGTTCTGGTCAAGTCCTATAGTCTTTCTTTGTTCTGCTTTAAAACTTTGGTCCAGTTTTAGTCCTGGTTTGGTCCTGGTTCAGTCCTGGTTTAGTACCTGATGGCCCGGTTGGAGTCATCCAGATCCATGTCATCGCTGGCCCCGGTCTCCAGCAGAAGGGCGCCCTCTGATGACATCACTTCCTCCAGGTCGTCCAATAGGCTCGCCCTCCTGCCGCCGTCGTGCTCGTCTGACTCCGCCCCAGGACTCAGCAGCTCTGAAAGAGTTTAAGAACCTCACAGTCACAAACTTTAAAGAGGGACTATTACATTTCTATGAGGTATTAACTGTAACACATAACATATTTAGGTCATCATGGTACCTTTTATTGTTTTGAAAATGCTATATTCACCAGAAAAGTTTCACTCTTTGACGCTCTGGTTATGATAGTGTTGTAGTCAAGACTGCACTAACTGAGACCAGAACCTGTCTGAGACCACAGGGTCCAGAGACCAGGACTAGACCAAGGTCTCTGAGGGTGGAGACAGAGACAAGTCCAAGACCTCAGCCCATTGAGACCATCTTTGTCATTTTCTACATTTATCTGTATTTCAGTTATTTTGGCACAAATATATCATTTTTTAAATAAATATATCTCAGTTTTATCTGAGAAGTGTTCATTTAAGGTGAAGAGTGGCCCGCTGATATGAGGCAGATGAACAGGTAGGATGTTTTAAGAAGTTTAACTTGCCTTGTGGTTGCCGCGTGCTGGGGGTGTGTGTGTTTATGACGTACAGCGCAATGTCCGCGGGCTCCAGACGAACGCACAAGTTGGAGAGAGACGCCCCGCGTGCTCCCGCACACCAGTACAACTTTATTGCCAACAACAACAGCCATAATGAAATATGGTTGCACTTGTCCAGTGTCAGACCTCAAGTCAGAGACAAGGCTGAGTCCAAGTGCCTCTAAGATCAAGTCCAATCATGGTCAAGTCCGAGATGAGACCAAGACCATAAAAAAACTGCCTTGAGGCTGGTCTCAAGACCAAGACCGGTCTCGAGTAGTACGACACTGGGTTATGATCCTGGTCAGGATCTGGAGACTCAGACTTACCTCCGTTCCTGGACACTTCTCCCAGACAGTTGTTGGGGACTTTAGCCGCACAGCGTTTGTGACAGTTGTATCTGCAGTCTGAAGAACATCAGAGAATACAGAGACACGTGTCACTATGGCAACACACAGAAGTATCTTAAACTCACACACATGTTCTTCTAATGCACCACACATAGTCTTGGTCATCGTGTTTGTTAAACCCAACTTATTGAATCCCTCTCTCTTACCCTGCACTGGAGTCCCCGTCTTAGTTGAAGCAGTGTTAGTTAAATCTCTGTCTTACCCATGGATCTATAATATAACCTGGACAAGGCTACGCCCTCTCTGTCCGGATGTTAGTTTGGGCTCTGTGGTACTTTCCCAAAGGGCGGATTTTTTTTTTTTTATTTCTCAATTTTTGTCTTTTTCTATTTTTTAATCCTTAAAAGCACCTAATAGTTAGCTTTGTAAGATTGAATGAAAATGGTATTTCAGAGATTTTCCAGTCGGGTTTTAAAAGTGGACACAGAACAGAGTCAGCTTTGTTAAGAGTCTTTGGTGACTGGCCTCGGTCCCTGGACATACTCACATACTAACTGTGGTGTTTGATATGGTGGACTTATCGTAGCCTGTACCTTTACACTGCAGTCCCTGTCTGAAGATCCCTTTGAGCAGCTTCTTGCAGACCTGGCAGACCGTGGGCCTGGTGTAGGAGTGGATGAGGAAGGTGTGAGGGACTTTGATTCTGTGGAGCATTTTGTCCAGTTCGATGGGACGTCCGATGTACGACTGAGAGCTGGACCTGCGCTCACGGCCAGGGAGGAAGTCCATCTGGGACTTCTGAGGGAAACAGGAGGTAAGAGGGGGAAACAGGAGGTAAGAGGGTCAAAACAAAGGGTAAGAAAGGAAAACAGGGGGTAAGGTGGGAAAACGGGGAAAAGACAGGGCAAAAAGAGTGTCACAGTTATTAAAATACTGGTATGTGACATGCAACAAAAGAGGAACTTGAAACTAAATATTTATGCACAAAAGATGCTTAGAAATATATATTTTATTTTCATTGGAGGTTCAACAATTAATTGTAAATTATCGTGACCAGTCGAGTACCATAATTTTTGGACTATAAGGTGCACTTAAAACCCTTTAATTTTCTCAAAAATCAACAGTGTGCCTTATAATCCGCTGCGCCTTCTGTATTAATTCTGGTTGTGCTTACTGACGTCGACCCAATTATATGTATGTATGCTACCATAGTCAGGAGCCTCGGGGAGTAAGAGCAAACAAGCTGTTCAGCACTCACACTTTATGCAAATGAGCCATGTGGTTTTAAGTTTTGTTTCTGTAAAATATAAACAAATGTGGCAAAGCTGCATTAAACACATTATTACTCAATGTATATTTGAGTCGACATGGAGGAGCAGTGGCTTTACTCCAAGCTCCTCCCGTGTCTTACTAAGCTCCTCACCTCACTCTAAGGGCGCTCCCAGCCACCCTGTGGAGGAAACTCATTTCTACTGCTTATTTCTGAGATTTCGTCCTTTCGGTCATTACCCAGAGCTCATGATCATAGGTGAGGGACGTCGAGAGGAGTTCCGGATGCCTCCTGGGCACCTCCCTCAGGAGGTGTTCTGGGCATGGCCCACCAGGAGGAGGCCCCGGGGAAGACCCAGGACACACTGGAGGGACTATGTCTCTCGGTTGACCTGGGAACACCTCGAGGTCCCCCCAGAGGAGCTGGAGGACGTGTCTGGGGTGAAGGAAGTCTGGGAGTCCCTGCTTAGACTGCACGACCCAGCCCCAGATAAATGGAAGAAAATGGATGGATGGATGGTATATTTGAGTCCCCCTCGTAGGAAATGAAAATTCAAACTTAAATTATCCACCCACATTCAGGCAACGCTGGGCGAGTTGCACCACAATCTGCCAACGGATCATGGATGCTTGGACTAAGGGATCAGTCTCAAGTGTCGTCCATTGGTTTCAATTAATGCGCCTTATAATCCGGTGTGTCTTATGTATGAAAATAGACGAGAGAATTCAACATTATTGATATTGTGCCTTTATAATCCAGTGCACCTTATAGTCCGAAAAATACGATATTTAAGTGTTTGAAATCTCCAAATAGACAATGCAGACCTCACAAGCCAAAGACAGTGTTGTGACATCACCCATAGTGCCTGGTTCCAGTCAAATGAAATTCATTGAGGCTTGTAGTGATAGGGGTCAATTTGGAGGTGAATTCCATGTTTGGAATTCCAGCCGCAAATGTCATAGCAACCAAAGAGTCACTCGGCTTAGCAAATCTAATCTAATCAAACCTGTTGCTAAGGATATTGGGATAAGTTTTGAGAAAAGTGTCTGATTTGTCTTATCAATGTTCTTGATTTATGAACAAAATAGTGAAATAAAAACCCCAGGATCATATAGAGTGAGTTACAAATACAAATACTGTGAGACCAGAATGACAAGTCTGACAGCAGCAGTTACAAAGAGAGAGGGGCCATGGTTTTTCAATACAAACTGAATCAGAGCCAGAGTCGATGGACCCATTAAAAGGTCATGTAGTTGAACCTCATGAATAAAGAGCCTTAGATAAAGAACAGCACAAACTGACGAAGATGATTTCTGGACAAGCTCTAAAACGATTTGGTCAGAAAACTCACCTCCATGTTGGGGCTGACTGGAGACTGGAGGAGAAAAGAAAATGGAATAATTCAACTCAACCGTCCAAATATATCACACATAAAAAAAAATTAAAAATTAAAAAAAAAAGCACTAGAGACATACCAGCAGAGCATCGTCGGAGTAATGTGGAGGAGATGGTTCAGCAGAGAGAGGCCGGTTCCCCAAAGTCCCAAGACCCAGACCCAGACCTAGTCCACCCAGACCCCCACCCAAACCTCCACCCAGACCCCCACCCAAGGACACGTTTGAGCCACGCCGTCTGCGCACGCCGCTGCAGTTGTTGGGGATCTTAAAGGCACAGCGCTTGTGGTAATTCAACCCGCAACCTGCAAGACAAGAACCAGGGACAAAACAAGTCAGAGTAAGAACTAAACAAGGTCTGAACCAGGTCTCAACCAACTAGGCCACAGACCAAACAAGGACTAAGACAACACTAAACCAACACTAAACCAACACTAAACCCAAACTAAACCAACACTAAACCCAAACTAAACCACTAACCAACTAAACCCAAACTAAACCAACACTAAACCCACTAAACCAACACTAACCAACACTAAACTAAACCAAACCCAAACTAAACCAACACTAAACCCAAACTAAACCAACACTAAACCAACACTAAACCAACAAACTAAACCAACAAACTAAAACCAACACTAAACCAACACTAAACCAACACTAAACCAACACTAAACCAAAACTAAACCCAAACTAAACCAACCCAACTAAACCAACACTAAACCCAAACTAAACCCAAACTAAACCAACACTAAACCAACACTAAACCAACACTAAACCAACACTAAACCCAAACTAAACCAACACTAAACCAACACTAAACCCAAACTAAACCCAAACTAAACCAACACTAAACCAAAACTAAACCAACACTAAACCAACACTAAACCAACACTAAACCAACACTAAACCAACACTAAACCAAAACTAAACCAACACTAAACCAACACTAAACCAACACTAAACCAACACTAAACCAACCTAAACCAACACTAAACCAACACTAAACCAACACTAAACCAACACTAAACCAAACTAAACCCAAACTAAACCAACACTAAACCAACACTAAACCCAAACTAAACCAACAACTAAACCAAAACTAAACCAACACTAAACCAACACTAAACCAACACTAAACTAAACCAACACTAAACCAACACTAAACCCAAACTAAACCCAAACTAAACCAGCACTAAACCAACACTAAACCAACACTAAACCAACACTAAACCAACACTAAACCAAACTAAACCAACACTAAACCAGCACTAAACCAGCACTAAACCAACACTAAACCAACACTAAACCAACACTAAACCCAAACTAAACCAACACTAAACCCAAACTAAACCCAAACTAAACCCAAACTAAACCAACACTAAACCAACACTAAACCACACTAAACCAACACTAAACCAACACTAAACCAGCACTAAACCAACAAACTAAACCAACACTAAACCCAAACTAAACCAACACTAAACCCAAACTAAACCCAAACTAAACCAACTAAACCAACACTAAACCCAAACTAAACCCAAACTAAACCAACACTAAACCAACATTAAACCAAAACTAAACCAACACTAAACCAAACTAAACCAACACTAAACCCAAACTAAACCCAAACTAAACCAACACTAAACCAACACTAAACCAACATTAAACCAACACTAAACCAACACTAAACCAAATAAACCAAACTAAACCCAAACTAAACCAACACTAAACCAACACTAAACCAAAAATAAACCAACACTAAACCAACACTAAACCAGCACATGCAGGGTTAACAAAGTCTAACAACAGATATTGCTATGGGCAACTAAACCAGGACTAAAACCAAAATCTGAACCGGGATTATCTGGACTATATTTTGGCCAAGTTCATAGTCTAATCCAGGACTAAAATGGTCTACACTAGGACTTACCTAAATGTGGAATAAACCAGGACCCAAATCAGTCTTAGAACCATTGTAACCCGGGTCTAAACCAGGATTAAACTAGAAATAAACCCACTCTAAACCAGGTCTAAACCTGACCTAAGATCAGTTTAAAGAGGTTGAAACCAGATCTAAATCAGATCTAAATGAGGTCTAAATCAGGTTAAAACCATGTCTAAATCCAGTCTGAACAAGGTCGAAACCAGGTCGAAACCAGGTCGAAACCAGTCGAAACCAGGTCAAAACCAGGTCAAAACCAGGTATCACCCAGGCTTCAACCACATCTAAATCAGGTCTAAATCAGGTCTAAACCAGGTTAAAACCAGGTATCACCCAGGCTTCAACCACATCTAAATCAGGTCTAAATCAGGTCTAAACCAGGTTAAAACCAGGTATCACCCAGGCTTCAACCACATCTAAATCAGGTCTAAATCAGGTCTAAACCAGGTTAAAACCATGTCTAAATCCAGTCTGAACAAGGTCGAAACCAGGTCGAAACCAGGTCGAAACCAGGTCGAAACCAGGTCGAAACCAGGTCGAAACCAGGTCGAAACCCAGTCTGAACAAAGTCTAAAACAGGTCGAAACCAGATTGAAACCAGGTCTTAATCAGGTCTAATCCGGGTATCAACCATGTCTCAACCAATGTCTTAACCTAGGTCTTAACCAGGTCTTAACCAGGTCTTAACCAGGTCTTAACCAGGTCTAAACCAGGTCTAAACCAGGTCTAAACCAGATCTAAACCAGATCTAAACCTGGTCTTACCTTCACACTTGAGTCCCTGCCGGACGAGCCCCCAGAGCATTTCTCCGCAGTGATCACAGAACGCCGGGGCTCTGTACGAGTGCACGAAGAGACAGTGAGGACGGATCTGGAAGTCTTCTACTGTGGCAGACGCTAAAACGAGAGAGACGCATGTGAGACCAAAGGCACATAATTAAAGCCACTGTGTCCCCAGTGTGCCCCGGGGCAGCTGTGACAGGACCAAGAGACAGACAGGACAGATCTGAGAGAGAGAGAATAATGTCAAAATAAGAATGTGAGAGAGAGAGAGCAAAGCAGATCTACAGCAACACTAAACACTGTGTGGAAACAACCTCCATCTCTCCTTCCATCCTTTCTCCCTCCTCTCACTTCCCCTTCTCTCCTATCTCTCTCTCCTCCCTAACTCTCCTCTCTGCTCACTTCATTTCTCTCTCTGCCCTTCTATCTTTTTCTCTCTCTCTCCCGCTGTCATTCCCTTTTGTTCTCTCCCTCTTTCCTCTATCTCTCTCTTCACTCCCTCCTCTCTCCTTCCCTCCTTCCTCTCTTCCCTTCCTCTCTCCCTCTTCTCTTACCCTCTCCCTCCTCTATCTCTCTCTTCCCTTCCTATATCCCTCTTCTCTCTTCCTCTCCTTCCTCCCTCCCTCTGTCCTTCTCTCTTTCTCTGCCCTCTCTTTCTGAATTAATTTCTCTCTCTCTCTCTCTCTCTCTCTTCCATCTCTATCTCCCTCTTCTCTCTTTCTCCTTCCTCCCTCCCTCTCTTGCCCTCCCTCCTTCCTCTCTTTCTGAATGAATCTCACTCTCTTCCCTCCCTATCTCCCTCTTCTCTCTCTCTCTCTCTCTCTCTCGCTCTTCTTCCTCCTCCCTCCCTCCCCCTCTTTCTCTCTCTCTCTCTCTCTCCCCCTCCCTCCTCCCTCTCTTTCTGAATGAATATCTCTATCTCTCTCTTCCCTCTGTATCTCCCTCTTCTCTCCTCCCTCTCTCCCTTTCTCCCTCCCTCCTCCCACTCTTTCTGAACGAATATCTATCTCTCTCTTCCCTCCCTATCTCCGTCTTCTCTTTCTCTCTCCTTCCTCCCTCTCTTTCTGAATGAATCTCCCTCTCCTCCCTCTCTCTCTCCCTCTCCTCTCCCTCTCTCCCTCTCCCCTTTTTATCTGAACGAATCTCTCTCTCTTCCCTCACTATCTCCCTCTTCTCTCTCTCTCTCCCTCTCTCTTTCTGAATGAATCTCTCTCTCTCTCTCTTCTCTCTCCCTCCCTCCTCCCACTCTTTCTAAACAAATATCTCTCTCTCTCTCTTCCCTCCCTATCTCTGTCTTCTCTTTCTCTTTCGCACTCTCTCTCTCTCTTTCTCTCTCCCTCCTCCCTCTCTTTCTGAATGAATCTCTCTCCTCTTTCTCTCTCCCTCTCTCCCCCCTCTTTATCTGAACGAATCTCTCTCCTTCCCTCCCTATCTCCCTCTTCTCTCTCTCTTCTCCCTCCCTCCCTCTTTCTCTCTCACTCTCTGCCCTCCCTCTCTTTCTGAATGAATATCTCTATCTCTCTCTTCCCTCCCTATCTGAGTGTTCTCTTTCTCTCTTACTCTCTCTCTTTCTCTCTCCCTCCTCCCTCTCTTTCTGAATGAATCTCTCCCTCTCCTCTCCCTCTTTCCCTCTCCCCTTTTTATCTGAGCGAATCTCTCTCTCTTCCCTCACTATCTCCCTCTTCTCTCTCTCTGCCTTTTCCTCCTCCCTCTCTTTCTGAATGAATCTCTCTCCTCCCTCTCTCTCTCCCTCTCCTCTCCCTCTCTCCCCTTTTTATCTGAATGAATCTCTCTCTTCCCTCACTATCTCCCTCTTCTCTCTCTCTCTCTCTCCTTCCTCTCTCTCTCTCCCTCTCTCTTTCTGAATGAATCTCTCTCTCTTCCCTCACTATCTCCCTCTTCTCTCTCTCTCTCTCTCTCTCCTTCCTCTCTCCCTCTCTCTTTCTGAATGAATCTCTCTCTCTTCCCTCCCTATCTCTGTCTTCTCTTTCTCTCTCGCTCTTTCTCTCGCCCTCCTCCCTCTCTTTCTGAATGAATCTCTCTCTCCTCCCTCTCTCTCTCCTTCTCCTTTCCCTCTCTCCCTCGCCCCTTTTTATCTGAACAGATCTCTCTCTCTTCCCTCAATATCTCCCTCTTCTCTCTCTCTCTCTCTCTCTCCCTCTCTCTTTCTGAACAAATCTCTCTCTCTTCCCTCACTATCTCCCACTTCTCTCTCTCTCCTTCCTCTCTCTCTTTCTCCCTCTCTCTTTCTGAACGAATCTCTCTCTCTCTTCCCTCCCTGCCTCCCTCTTCTTACTCTCTCTCCTCCCTCCTCCCCTGCACCCTCCCTCCTCTCCTCTCTCCCTCTCTCCCTCCTCCCTCTCTCTTTCGGAGTGAATATCTTGTTAGCAGTATTTGTAAATGTTTAGTGGTGCATGCGTTCCGAGTGGCGCGTGCTTCGGCTGTGGCCAGATTTTCCTTTGGTCCCAAACTCTCCCCCGCGTCGCTCCAAAGCCTCTGATTACACATTCTGCGCCGGGAAATTACCGTATTTATTAAAATTATTGTTTATGTTTTTGTTTGGGCGCCTGGTGCGTTCTGGCTGAAGGATGCTTAGGAAGAGAGGAGGGAGGAGAGGAGGAGGAGGAGGAGGAGGAGGGGAGGAAGGGAGGAGGAGAGGAGGGGAGGATGAGAGGAAACACGGAGAGAAAGTCTTTAGTCCTAAGCACAATCTGACCACTTTAAGACCTCCTCTACGTGTGGGTGGAGGAGGATGGGAGGGCATCTGATACACAAAGAGACGGGAGAACGGGACACACAACAACATCTGCAGATTAACTAGACATTTGACCCGCCCTCATCTCAACAAAGAACTGTTCATTGCTATAGCAACGGCCCCAGTCTCTTGTCACCATACATAAACATTCAAGTTTAAAGTGTATTGTCTTTGGCAACATATGACCTCCATCTTGGATCTGTTTCACACCTGTATGTTATGTTTCCATGGTAACCTGAGAGTACGACCTCCATCTTGGATCTGTTTCACACCTGTATGTTATGTTTCCATGGTAACCTGAGAGTACGACCTCCATCTTGGATCTGTTTCACACCTGTATGTTATGTTTCCATGGTAACCTGAGAATACGACCTCCATCTTGGATCTGTTTCACACCTGTATGTTATGTTTCCATGGTAACCTGAGAGTACGACCTCCATCTTGGATCTGTTTCACACCTGTATGTTATGTTTCCATGGTAACCTGAGAATACGACCTCCATCTTGGATCTGTTTCACACCTTTATGTTATGTTTCTAGAGTACGACCTCCATCTTGGATCTGTTTCACACCTGTATGTTATGTTTCCATGGTAACCTGAGAGTACAACCTCCATCTTGGGTCTGTTTCACACCTGTATGTTATGTTTCCATGGTAACCTGAGAGTACCACCTCCATCTTGGGTCTGTTTCACACCTGTATGTTATGTTTCCATGGTAACCTGAGAGTACCACCTCCATCTTGGGTCTGTTTCACACCTGTATGTTATGTTTCTGTAATTACCTGAGAGCACGACCTCCACCAGGTCTCCATCTTGGATCTGACTGGCCGAGCGCAGTAGCTGGAGCAGGTTCTCTGAGGACGAGTCATGACGGAACAAAAGAATCTTCTCGTACATCCCATAGAACCCACACTCTGGGAGCTGGGGGGGTAAAGAGAGGAAGCGAGAGCGAGAGAGAGAGAGGGGGAGAGAGGTGGCAGGTTAGATTTAAACACAGACGTCCTCCTTTGACCGTTTCAAATGCGGTTTGGACAGGTTTTAGCTCGCTGTTGTATTAAAATAATAGATGTGAAAAAGCACAGACACATAAAGTCTCTTTGTTCTAAAGCTTCAGCTGAACTCTCTCTCCTCCATCAGGGCCATTCACAGTACTGCTCGCTCGCCCGCTGTCATTCTCAACAATACTCTAAGTACGACGTTAAAGAAACAGCAAAGTCCTGACCAGGACTGAACCAGGACTGAACCAGGACTGAACCAGGACTGAACCAGGACTGAACCAGGACTGAAGCAGGACTAAAGCAGGACTAAAGCAGGACTAAAGCAGGACTAAAGCAGGACTAAAGCAGGACTAAAGCAGGTCTAAACCAGATCTAACATTGGTCTAAACAAGGTTTAAATCTGGTCTAAACCAGGACCAAAGAAGGGCTGAACCAGGTCCAAACTGGGTCTGGAGCAGGACTGCAGCAGGACATAAGTGGTCTCATTACTCTCTGTGTCATTCTCAGTTCTTTCATCTTTGAACAAAGCCCCCTCCTCGTGTCCTGCATCATCTCGTCGCCATGGCAGCAGGGCATCATCCGTCGCCACGGCAGCGGGAGGCAGCGGTCGCCACGGCAGCAGCAGCCACGGTCGCCATGGCAGCGGAGGACCACAGCTTCATCTCACCTTTCTGTGTGTATGATGTCTTTATGTAAGGTTTTATATAGAGGCTGAAGAGGGACTGAGGCAGGACTGAACCAGGACTAAATATGGACTGAACCAGGTCTGAAAAAGATCGAAGCCAGGATTTTCTCTCCGTAACCCTCCATAGTGTGATGAAATGTGCCGCAGTGGGGCTTTAACCCTGTTCTAATGTAGTGTTCTCATCAGAAACATCCCTGGAGTTGTGTGTTGTTTCATTCATGTATTTCAGTAATCCTGTACATTTAGTCTGTCTCTCTCTGCACAGCTCACAACACTCTGTTACACCGGGTGATGTCATCAGGTGCTGCTCCTCCAGGTTTTAAAGTCATTCTCCTGATTATCAGACGTTTAACCTGCTTCACACTCTCACTTAAATCAAATGAAGTTAGCACAGGTTTTAGAGCTAATGATTTTTGTGAACTAAATCAGGTCTAAACCAATTCTACACCAGGTCTAATCCAGGTCTAAAGCAGGTCAAAACCAGGTCTAAACCAGGTTAAAACTAGGTCAAAACCAGGTTTAAACCAGTTTTAATCTAAGTCTTATCCAGGTCTAAACCAGATGTAAACCAGATCTAAACCAGGTCTGGTCCTTGTGTAATGCTTTGGGATCATGCTTGCTGAACACTGGAGCTCTAATGGTTTCTGAAGGACACTCGAATCGGAGCCATCACCTGTTTCCATGGCAACGGACAAACGCAAAATACAGAAAAACACTGAGAAATATCCGAGAAGAATGATTTAAACCACCGAAAATCACGTTGGATCTGACAGGATGAGGAGGTTTAAACAGACAAAACGATATGAAACAGAGGAGAAATCGAGGAGAAAAACTAGTTAAATGAGAGGAAATAAGACGCTTGAAGAGGGGGAATTATGCAAAATGAACCTTTTGGAGTTTTCTACCATGTTATAATGTTGTTCCCTGAAGAGGTTTTAGATGTCATTCATGTTTGAGTAATCTAGCGATCTCTGGGGCCAATTCAAGCAATACGAGCCTGTACAAAGCTCCGCCCACAAGCCTACATCACCCATGCTCCCACACGACAACTCTCCATAAATATACTAAAACATGATACAAAACTGTACACTACAACTTCACAAACCTGATGCAACGTGCAGTCATTTCATTAGCTGATGCACGCTGATAAAATATCAGTGTGGTCCCTCCTCATGACCTCACTCAGTGTGTGTGAAAATGTCTGATTCACCTACCCCCTATCTCTGCCCACAGCTCTGTACTTACTGTGATCATTTAAAAAAGGAGAGCAAACCAAAAACTTAAACCAGGACTGAACCAGGAATTAACCAGAATTAAACCAGTTCAAAGCCAGAACTAAAACAGCAGGACTGAACAAGAACTGAACTAGGTTTTAACAGGACTAAACAAAAACTAAACCAAGATGAACCAGGACTAAACCAAGAGAAGGATTAAACCATTAAACCTGAACTGAACCATATCTAAATCAGGTTTTAACCCAAACTAAACCAAGTCTCAGCCAGAACTAAACCCGGAATAAACCTTGAATAAACCAGGACTAGACCATGAGTCCCAGTGGCGGCTGGTCAATAGGGGCGCAAGAGCGCCACACTCCCTAACTTGACCTAAATACAAAAAAGAAGAAAAAAAATTGTAAGTTGTTATTTTGTATTAGACCATGTTTAATATTGTGTTTAAAATGTAACGTGTATCTGCATAGACCTATTTTTATCAGGTTAAATGTGCTCATATCACTTTATTTGAGTCATGCGACCTAATGGAGTTTCTCTGGAAGAGCCTGAAGTTTTGAGAAAATGTGACGTCATGACGTTGCTTCTGCCCATGACTTTACATTAGCGATAAAATCCGTGTTTGGGGCGCACGGTGGGACAGACCTGAGATCAAGTGACTGGTCTGAATAAACATGAACACACATGTTGACCTGTTGTGGTTCAGCTGCTCTGTCACTCAGCCCAGACTCTGCACTGACACATGTTACTGCGACAGGATCATGATGAGAACAACAGAGCTGTGTGCTGTACAGTTATGAAGAGCTCGTACAAGTACGTCCCAGGAACAGTTTTAGGGAGTAAGAAGAAGAAAAGAAGCATTAAGCTGGAATGAGCTGCGGTGAGATACTACGGCTCATTAGCACACTGGCTAATGGCGGCTAGCTGTTATCTTAAACCTGTCCACAGTAAAGCGCGAGGACAGACCCGCCGCTGGGACCAGGAGCCACGCGCCGCCGGGGCCGGGGCTGTTGCTCGCTGCTCTGTCCGCCTTTGCCCGCGTGTTTCTCGGTGTAAAAGTTTCACTGGGCGTAGCGCACAGAGGGCATCAGTCCACCTGTGTCCTGGTGCTAATATGGACTGGTGTAACTTTCACATTTATGTGGGAAGTGAGATTAAGACAATTTTACAACCAGCTCGTGGACCTCGCGTCACGGACCTGACTGGACCAGGATTTGCATCAGTTTGATCTCTTCGTGTGGACAATAAACTTTTGGAGACAGAACCAATGGGACAGTGGATAGAGGAAACACTCTGCTTCAGTCTCTGGAGAAGGTAAGAGGCTTGTTTTCATTAGTTTGGGGCAAATCTGAAGATGGAGCCTCACAGGTAAAGAGTGTTGTAGTGTTATAGTTAAATAGTGCGTAAATGAGCTGGTGGTGCGATGGAGCTGCTGTTGTTCCGCTGTGCGCTGTAGGAGCTGCGCTGATGCTGTGTGTTCATGTTGTGACCATAACCTCTTATTGTAGTTTTGCTGATGTTGTTGGGGATGGGTGTGAGCGATGTGTTACCTGTGTGTTGTGTGTTACCTTGTGTTGTGTTACTTTGTGTCGTGTTACTTTGTGTCGTGTTACGTTGTGTCGTGTTACGTTGTGTGTGTTACTTGTGTTACGTTGTGTTGCGTGTTACCTTGTGTTACCTTGTGTGTCGTGTACCTTGTGTCGTGTTACTTGTGTCGTGTTACTTTGTGTTGTGTTACCTTGTGTCGTGTTACCTTGTGTCGTGTTACCTTGTGTTGTTGGGGCTGGTTGTGAGCGGTGGATCAGGTTGTGCTGCTGCGTAAACTTGGGTAAACTTGCGTAAAACTGCACTTGGCTGTGCGTTGTGCTCTGATAGTTCAGCCAATAGTGACCAAAATGAAAATGTCTTTTTCTGTTTCATTACAATACTATATAGCCTGTATATAATACATATATTTATAATATATATTCATAATTTTGGCCTTGCCCCCCCCCCCCCAAAATAAAATAAAATAAAATTATACCACCAGCTGCCACTGACCAGGACTAAACCAAGACTAAACCCAGACTAAACATGGAATAAACCTATAAAAAACCTGGACTAAACCAGGCCTAAACATGGTCTAAACCCGGACTAACCCAGGCCGTGACTAAACCAGGACTAAACCAGGACTCAACCAGGACTCAACCAGGACTCAACCAGGACTCAACCAGGACTAAACCCAGTCTAACCCTCACATATTTGTTGTTAAATTCCTGCTCCTCTCACTTGGGTCCTGTTTGTGGTGAGGTTTTGTTTGGGAGTGAGAATGGGATTCGCACCTCCGCGTTTTGGTGAATCACGGCTTCGTTTGGCACAGATCGGCACGGCACGGCTCCCCGCGGAGAGCCCAACAAAAGCGCGGAACATGGGAGAAGGTTCCGAGAGGAGAGGGCCACTGCAGTTTGTAAATAAAGACGCCATGTTTGAACCGGAGCAGGAACCGAATCACACCTCCCCAGTCTGTTTAGAACACCCCCAAAGACGCACGCACCAATCTGTCACCAACACCACCACCGCACGATAACACGAGCACGAGAACACGAGCACGAGAACACGAGCACGAGAACACGAGCACTATAACACCAGCACTATAACACCAGCACTATAACACCAGCACTATAACACCAGCACTCAAACTACAATGTATCAGCTACGTCCCCATGGAAAATGTACTTCAAGTACTGGTGTTTTCAGGTTGTGGAATGTGATGGTGTCGTACTCACAGCTGGGGGCAAGGGCCACATTTCACTACAGATCACATTATACTTTAGACTTCAACTTAGACAAGCTTTAGTGATCCGCAAGGGAAATTATTTGGACACGGGAGCTCACACATCACAATAAATATAACAACAAAGAGCAAAATATAAATGGGGATAATAAATTCAAAATAAGTAGCAAAAAAAGAGCAAGTGACAGGTATCAAATAAGACATAATTATATAAATGTAAATGTACAAGTCAAAAT